ATGAGGCAAATGTGCGTTTAAAAAATCTTTGGCATCATTTCATCAAAACCCAATACAGGGAAAGGGATGGGAAGAAACTGCATTCTACCCGAGATTCTCTCTGCAACCCTGGATAAGTTGCAGGCGGCTGTGTCTTCTATCTAGATTCCCTCTCCCCAAGACTCATGCTGGGACAAAATCCCTGACACTCAAAGTGAAGGAAGGAAAGGCTTTTTCTTACAGTTCTTGGAGGTTTCAGTCCACACTCAGCTGGCTCCAACAGAGGGTGGCATGGTGGGGCCTTCATTCATGGCAGCCACAAACAGCAAGGTGGGAACAGGCAAGAGAGAGAGACACACCTTCTTCCTGCCATTACATCCTGTCCTGGCTCCATCCCTGTGGGGGTGTAGCACTCACACCACCCATCCAACTGCTAGATAAGAACCAATCACAAACACTAGATTTGGTTGAATCCATAATTGCATGAGGCTTGGGAGCCATTGACATAAACCATGACAGTGGGGCTTTTTGGACCTAGGATGTATAATACTAGGATCAAGAGTGTGTGACACTAAATTAGTCCACTGATTTTAATTAGCATACTTTTGGTGTAGCTGAATGGATTTATGGAAGACAAAAGTCCCCCCTCAGTTGTGCATGGCGTCACCCAAGAGGCCTTAGCCTGAATGGAATAACAGGGAAGGGGAAGCTTGCTGCCTGCTGATCACTGCTTCCTGCCTGGTCTGCCACGGACAGTTACCCCTCTGTGATCCCCGTCTGCCATGCCACCCTACCTTGGAGCCTGGAAACCTCTACAGACAATGAACTGAAATAAACCCTTCCCCCTGCTAACTTTGGAGGTCAGCTATTTTGTCTTAATTGTGAATAAGTAGCTAAAACTTTGCTTAAAACATCACACATTTATTTTTTGTTTTGTGAAAACTTTCTCAGAAGAAATATGGGCTCAGGTTTCTCAGAAATTTCTCCTTGCCCATCTGGAGTGGAGTTGAAAACCACGACAGTAAATCTGCAGTGATCTCTGCCTGTGTCACCGCCAAACACAGCTCTTCCCTCAAATTCTCTAGAACCATGAGCCATCATCACACCAGCCCACTGGCCCCTCCTCAGACCTATCATCCCCTCATAGCTTCAATTATAATTCAGCTCCCCAGGACTTTTTTCCTTGTCTTCTTTATCCATGAAGTCCTATATATACCTGAAGACCCACCTTAAATATCACTCACACTGCAAATGCTGCTTGAAAGCCTCTAGGTAGGAGAAGTCTGTCCCGGGAATTCAGTTCGCAGACTCATCAGGCAAACGTTCTGCCTGGATGTCTGCACCATCCATTCTGAATTGTATGAAAGCTTTTCTTTTGCAGGGTGGGGATGGGAGTCGTCACATCTTTGAAGAACAATGCAGTGCTTAATTCAAACCTGCTGATAAAAATTGAAAACAAGTGTATTGGCAAAGAATAGAAGAAATACTGACTTTTTGGAGTCAAGAAGAGGAAAGATAAACAGAGACCCTTGGTGGTATCACACTAAATTGGAATAGCAAAGGAAGGAAAAGGAAAAGAAGGTGAAGAAGAGGAGGAGGAGAAATCCAGCCAGGCGTGGTGCCACTCACCTGTAATTCCAGCACTCAGGGAGGCTGAGACAGGAAGATGACTAGTTGGTGTCCTACCTACACAACTTAGTAGCTTAGTGAGACTCTGCCTTAAAATTAAAAAGAAAATTAAAGGGGTTTGATGACTAGGAATGGAGCCCAGTGCATAAGTTCTGGATTCAATTCCCAGTGTCGTAAAAGTAAAGCAGGCCTTTAGAAACTCTGCACTCACATCTTACTGATTTTTATCATAAATTAGAGAGTGTTGAAGAGAATGAGTCATAGAAGAGGAAAAAATTATAACCTGGTTCAGCAATCAGCATATTATATCTCCCCAGTGACTCATAGTACCAGACTCAAGTCAGGACAAACAGAGTTCCTGTCAGAAAGACAAGCAGTTAAAAATAAATGCGCAAATAGAAAGGGATGGGAGGAGGGGCTCTTTAACTGTGTTTGAACTCTCTCCAGCCCGGATTCCCTCATGAAGGGCTTGAAAGGGCAAACAGGCAGAAAAACTTGAGTCATACAGCAGCAGGAAGCAGAAGAAGTGAAAGCAAATAGGTTTCTCAATAAAATCTTTGAGGCCAAGAAGGGCAGCCTAAGCCACAAGGCGGGCACTGACCCTTATAAATCAGGAGCGCTGTTGCGGTTTAGATCTAGAGTATCCCCGGGAGCCTCACGCACTCTGAGGTGAGGCTTTCAGAAGGTCATAAGATTGTGAGGGTGCTGCACTTGCCATTGAGAATACAGAGCTGAATGCACTCTTAGGGGTGGGTCTGATGCATAGTCGTCACTGAGGTGTGACCTGGAAGGATGCATCTTTGTCCCCAGCTCCTTTCATCTTTCTCTGCCTCCTGACCACCATGTGGTGTGTGTCTTTTTTCTGCCAGGCTCTTCTGCTATGATGTTCCTGCTTTGGAATCAGCTGACTATAGACTAAATCCTATTTTAAAATAATCATGGCACAGCAGAATGGGCACTGAACTCAGAGAGAATCAAACTTGCATTTTAATCCCAGCTCCTCAGAAGTTAACCAGCAAGCTGGGCGAGATGGAGGTAACTTAAGTTCCCTGATCCTTAGTTCTCAGTTCCACTGAGTGCAAGCAATGCTGTGGTTTGGGAATGACTTCAACAGCCCATGTGACAAAGACCTGGTCTTTGTCACCACAGCCTGTGGTGAGACTGTACCCGTTTCAAGAGGTAAGTTCCCATGGGAGCAAGTAAGGCCATTGGAGGCACCACCTTGAGAGGATATTGGGGTTCTAGCTTCTTCCTGTCTCTATTCCGGTTTCTTGACCACCAGAAGGTGAGTAGATTTCTCTGACATGTACTCCAACCATGACATACTGTGCTGCCCAAAACAACCAGGCCAACAACCAAGGACTGAACCTTCTGAAACCCTAAGCCAAAATAAACCTCTCCTCCTTTTAAATTGGTTTCCAGATAGTTTTGTCACAGTGTCAAAAAGGTAGCACAAGCCACAGCATAAATCCATTGGGAAGACTAATTGATATCAAAGATGTAAAGCACTTATCTTGGAGTATCTACTTACATACAATAAAGATTAATTAAATAGGAGCTGGGGATTTAGCTCAGCGGCATAAGTGCCTGCCTTGCAAGCAAGCAGTCGTGAGTTCTATCCCTGGTACCGATAAAAAGGAAAAAAGACAAAAAAAAAGATTAATTAAATAATTCTTTGCCTTCAAGTGATTGATGAACACAGATATATATAGATGTGTCTATGACCCTAATTGACAAAGTTATGTGAGCATCTTACAAGCACGCCACATAATTGCAGTGTCATAAATACAGTTTAAAACCATGCTAATCAAAGCAGCTGTAACATTTCTCAGCAAAAATAGTCAGTGCATTCCATGCATATTCAGAAATCCTACATTAAGTTTCTAGTTAAACATTGATCACTTATCTTGGTCTCCCACTTACTGTGTATGTGACATTGGCAAGATCCTGACATCTGAGATTGTCCTATCTCCTAGCTACCATCCTAAATAGATGCTGCAAATTTTTAAATAGGAACTTGAAGTACCTAGTATAAGGCAGGGACAAAAAAAGCAATGGATGACAGTTTTCATTCATCTTTCCTAATGAGATTTGTGTTTTGAAAACTTTTAAGTGAACTAATCAACAACAAAATTACCTTTCATGTTCACAGGACAATCGGTGCAAAAGTCTTTCTGGAATGGTCTGTTAGTGCTACAGGAAAGAAGGAAAGAGATGAAGGCAATTCTCCTCAGCAAGCACGTCTGTGTTTGTTGATTTGCTCCCTTGTTCTCAGACAGAAGAGACGCAGCAACTCCCTGTAGGGTGAAAATTCTTGTGGTCTTGTCAGCTACCTGAGCACTGCTGTGAAAATTTGCAGACTCTGAAGACAGATTTGTGTGGTTCTGCGTTCTAGTTTCTTGCTTTACAGCTATTTGAGATTAATCAAACTATGGATGCCCCAGTGGCTTCACAAGTAAGGCTGAGTGACCTTACAGAGTTACTGTGAAGATCTCACCACAGAAGGAAAGAAGCTGACTCATGAGTCACCACCCTGTTTCTAGATCATCCACTTCCTCCATGGGGTCTCTGTACTGCCAGACTCAGGCTTGGGCTCTGCAAACACCCTGTGACTTTCTTTGAGGATCTATATCCATAAATGTTGCAAAGTGGAATCCGTTTGAAACTAACACCCTTCCTTATTGCTCCTAAAGAGCTATAGAAGAAGCCCACCATGGGAAGAAACAAAGCCTTAGAAATATGTACAGTTCTTACCTCAGTCTTGGTGATCCTGACCCCCTCCTGCGAGGCTCTCAGACTCACCCCTGTGTCTCATGATGAGACTCAGTGTGTCTTCCCCACCTCCACTCTCTGTTCATGCTCGTGAACTCAAAATGCCTAAAACGGTAAGTAGAGCTCAATATGGCAACTTATGGTCTCTAGAATCATCCAAAATTACCCAGAATCTTCACATCCAGAATGAAATCATGCTTATCTGCACCTTAGTCTTGGGATGCTCAAGGCCAATGGCTTGAGAAAGCGGTAGAAGTGGTACCTATGAGTTTTGAAGCTAAGATTAAAAAGTGACAAAGGTGTTGCCTCTGTGTTTCTTTGTTTCATTCTGAAGCTACCTTGAACTGGCAATGTTGGATGGGTCAACTGGAAAAGCCATTTAGCCAGGGACCCAGCTTTCCACCCAGAAGACAGATGCTGTGGTTTGTATGTAGAAGTCCCCCCAAAGCTTCATGTGCTCATAAGTGAGGCTTTTCAGAGGTGGCTGATTTAGGATATGTGGATATGGATTAACGTTGTGTGGAATTAAGTCAGTTTAGCTTAGTTCTGAGTATGTATAATAGAAGATTCACCATAAGCACCAACCAATAAGATTGCAGCCTGAATGGAATATAAAGGGAAAGTTGGAAAGCAAGTTTTTCTGTCTCCTGCCTGCCCTGCTATGGACTGTTGCTCCTCTGCAATGCCTCTCTGCCATGCTGCCCTGCCTTGGAGTCAGCCCATTACGGACAGAAACATCTACAAATGGTGAGCTAAAATAAGCCTTTTCTCCTTTAATGTAGGGGTGTCTCCACAACAAAAAGTAACTAAGACAACAGAGTTTTGCTGGCTGCTATCAAACAGGTAAGGGAGCAAACAGGAACCTCCAACTCAAGGTACATAGAATTGCACCTCCATGATAGATACTGGTGAGCAGTTTCCCTCCTGGTGCACCCAAGCCTCAGAGTTGTGAGGAGTCGTAGGGATAAGAAGGCTGCTGCTTAGGGCCATGAATGTGTGGTGCGATTTGTTGAACTGTGTAGTAAGCAACTTCCTGCCACTGGGATGCAATACCCAACTGCCATAACTTAAAGAAAGAGAGGGTTAACTTGGTTCATGTTTTAAGAGGATTCAGTTCATGCTCAGATGGGACCAAGGCAGGAACATCATGGGAAGGATGTTGTGGAAAAAGCTTAGTTTGTGGTGTCCAGAAGTAGAGGAAGGGAAAGGGACAAAGAGGAAGGAGAAAGGGACAAGAAACAACCTCTATGACCTACCCAGATGCACTCCTAAATGAACTTTCCTATTCCCCTGGAGTCCATAAAATTGACATCATAAGTAAGGCTAGCTATTAAAGGCAGCAAGAGATCACTGGGACACATCTTGGCACAATACGTGAGGTGCTGCTGTTGCCAAGTCTTAGACACTGGTGGTCAATTGGAAACTAGGTCATAAGGGACGTTAGGACTCAGGGCTAAAAGCAAACACTGGAAAAGGCTTGAGAGTTAGGGGAAACTTGATGAGCTCTGAGGAGATGGCCAGCAAAGAGTAAATGGGATTTGAGAAAAAGGATGAGCAAGCATCAGCATTTCCATCTGAGATATGGAAAATAAGCAATGTGCGGAGAAACTCTGAGTGACCAACCAACTAAGATCTCTAGGCAAAATGTTGATGCTGTTTAGTGGCTACATTACCACATGCAGGAAAAAGTACATGGAGATAAATGACCCAAAAGAAGCATGAACTATAAAAGAGCTAGAACCCATTAAATTTAGAAATAAAACTATTTGTCACTCTCTGGAACTTTAGTAGGCAAACAACGCTGAAATTCAGAAATGGCTTCTCTGCAGGAAGCAAATTCTACAAAATCAGGTCCATAGGATGAGAAGGAGCGGTAAAGGGCACGAGAATACAATATTGTGTTGAGAACACAGAGTAAATTTTGATGTTAATGTTGATAGATCTCTAAGGATTGGCTTGAAGACTCTACCCTTGAATAACAGGTCTTTAAGGCTCCTGTCTAAAGTGTTTCTCAGCCTTTTGACTCCTACAAGGTGTATCAGTGGTCTCCAAAAATCTCCAGGAAATCCACACGAGATGGGGTGATCTTGGAGAAATACCTAGGTGTGAGTTTCATTTAAGAGAGTTGATTATCAATTGTACTGAAAAATTTTAAAGAAATCATATGAGCTTATGCAAAAAGGTATAAAAAAATAACAAAAAGTACAGAGTTCTGTGGATTCTCTACTTCACAAAACAGGAAGCAGACAAAGAAATCTACAAAGCTATAAATATTTGCTACATTTTAAGAAAAAGAATAATTCAGAAGGTAGAACTTTGTATCCTGGGAATCTTTTCTGGGCATTAGAGCTAGAATCTAATTAAAATTTGAGAATGTATTTTTATCCAGTGTTGTCCAATTGTATGTTTCATCAGAAAAAATCTGCATGTCCCTTGACTGTATTTTTATAGCTTGTTTGGCTCTTTTTTTAAAAAACTTGATTGTAAAATTTCTACATAAATACTGAAAATTAATCTTTTATCACATATGTGGTTTGTAGACATTATCTTTAGTGCCATAGATTGACTTTTTATTTTGTTGATTATCTTAGTCATTTTTTACTCATCTCTGAGACAAAATACCTGAAACCCAAGTTGGGAAAGGAAAGGTTTATTTCTTACAGTTTTTTGGAGGTTTCAGTCCACACTCAGTTGGCTCCAAGGCAGGTGGTCATGGCTGGGCCGCAGTTCATGGCAGCTGCCAACAGCAAGACAGGAACCAGCCAAGAGAAAGACACACCTTCTTCCTGCCATTACATCACATCCTGGCTCCACCCCTATGTGGGTGGAGCACTGACACCATCAATCCAAGCACTAGACAATGAAACAATCACAAATGCACAATGCAAACTCATGAGGCCTGGGTGCCACAGACATAAACCATGACATTGATTCTTTCCTTTGCTATATAGAATCCTTTTAGTTTGACATATTTTACCTCTCTTAGTTTTCTCTTTGTTGCCTGAGCAGTGTATCACACTCAAGAAATTATTGCCACCAGGTATGCTTTTAAAGAGCCCTCAGGAGGCTGAAGCAGGAAGACTACCTGGTTTGAAGCCTGCCTGGACTATGTAGTGAATTCAAGAATGAACCACACAGCAAGACCCTGTCTTTAAAAAAGAAAAGAAAAGAAAAAGGAAATTATTTCCAAGGCCAAGGTAAATATTATTTTTCTCTACATTTTCTCTTTCTCCTGTTTCATTTAGAAGTTCAATAATTTCAACAAAACAGTATTTCTGTCTTTGAATCTTTTTGGGCTGATTTTTGAATATGGTATAAGGTAGTGTTATAATTTTATTTTATTTTTTTGCACATGGATACTCAGTTTTCCTAACGTTGTTTACTGAAGTGGTCATCCTCTCCCCAACTTACACACCTAACAGTAACACTGCTGTTCATGAATACTTCTGTTTGCAAACAATTTGATTCACAAACCAAAAGCATTTGGCAAACTTTTGCTCCCTTTCAGACTCTGCATTGGATGACAAACATAACCAAGACCATCTTCTCCACACATACACAAGTAGAGCTATCACCCACAAAATTATAAAGCAAATTAAGATCATAAACCAATGTACTGTACCATTGGGGAGTCTCACTATCTCTGTCAGAGACCAAATGATTGTATTAGGCTGCTTTCTGACACTGTCACAAAATACCTGAGACAATCAATTTAAAAGGAAGAGAGGTTCTATTTTTGGCTCACGGTTTCAAAGACTTCAGTCCATGCAAACTTGGGCCTGTTATTTTGGGATTATCGTGTCATAGGACATCCTGGCTGGAGAAAGTGGCAGGAGTGCACAGCTCCCCTCATGGAATCG